TTTTTTTTTTAACACTTAATATCGTGTGTGAAATTGGACACATCGGTATGTCCCGACTCCCACGAGTTTGCTCATGTGTAGTGATTCTGGGATCTTTTAACATCTGTCATTCAAATTGAAATTTTCAGGTCTCAGAGGAAAGTCCCCCCGGATCACCTTCCTCCTCCGAGGAAGGCGAAAATTCAACGTCTAAAGGCAAGCGAAACCAGAACAGAAACAAAGCGGTCTATAAAATCTCGATTTCTCCAAACAAGAGCTTCCAAGCTAAAGCTCGCGCAGGAAAACTGAACATAAAAGTCATCAAAGTAACGAAAAACGATCAAGGAGGATTGACAGTGACGGGACATAGAGAAGGCTCGCCTTCTTTAGAAGAAGACAATTCATCGCACGAAGGGAACGATTGCATCACAGTGGATGAACCCTGCCAGAGCACGTGCCAGCCAGCGGTCACTTCACGTGATAACCACGTGTTCGTCACCAGTCCGCAAAGCTTCTCACAACATCAGCCTCCAAGAGACATTTCTATACTCTCTGTTGTCCCCATTGTAACGCATCCGTCAATGTCCGCTCTATCGTATCAGGTACAGAATTCGCACGGAAACAAAGAGTGCAGCGCTACAAATGTCACTCCGACATCTAATTCTCATTTTCTTCCAGAAAATCATCTGTCGAATGCGATTTCGGTCAATCAGCTCTCTAGAGAGACTAACCAGAACACTGGAATCCAGTGGAATTCGGTTTTTGTGAATCCCCGCGTGGCGGAGCTGGGTAGCAGCCCGTCAAGCGACTATGGAAGTTACATGTCTGATGCAGGCACTCGACTTAGCTTCTCAGGCTCAGATTCCATGAGTGGGGGATTTCCCGCACAAAATATCTCCGACTCGGACCGTGGAGTGTTTGACGGCCCGTTTCGCGTCCCGCTTCCCGTGAACCGGGACTCGCAGCAAAATTTTGGCGATTCAGTAAAATGCGATGAAGGGTTGGCTCAGCGCAGACAAGGAGCGTGGCCGCTGACCGACTGTAGTACGGGAACTTCACAATCTAGCAACAGTGATGTAGCGGTTGATATGACTGACTTAGCTCATCTGGACTCGCTCGAGTTTGATGACATGTTCGACTGTGATCTAAGTCATGTCATTCCAGAATGCTTCACTGATTGCTTGACCTCACCGCCTAAACCAAGTGACAGAGACGTGACAACAACGAGTGCTAACCTTGAATCGAACTATACAACTACGTGCACAACTCCGCCATCCTCTATTCCGCTCAACCCTTTCACTTCCGCCAGCCAAGCGCAGCTTTCTCAGGCAACAACTTCCGGTAGGTCGTCAACTACGTCTTACGTGTTTGTAAAGCCTGTCAGCCCAGTGAGAAGCGCAGTGGTGACGTCCTGTTTTGTCAACGTCACTAAGAACACGCTTGCGTCA